ACCACGAGCCTATACTCAGACTAATGAATGGTTTGAAATGTTTCCCTTGGCTGATGAGGGAGGGCAACTTCTAAGTTTGGGCAAGGATCCCATATTGTAATAGAAATTGGAGCTTAGGGAAATTTATTATTTCCTTTTTGGCAACCGGGACTGTATGGTGAAACTGAATTGTTTGGTTTCTCATTCCTTTTTCTTTGTTTGCATCATTTTTTTGGAAACAAAATGTTAGTGGGATCTCTGTTGGGTCTGCAGTATGATTTCTGGGTTATCCAGTTATAGGAAGGCAGTCTCTAAACAGACCGTCACAAATCTCGTCCGTTTCCCTGCCGAATGTCATGAATCTATCCTGCAGCACAGGAGAAGGCCTTTCGGCCCATCATGCCTAAGCTTTTCTTTGCAACACGAGGTCCAATTAGGTCCCCCCTAGTCCTGCAAATGCAGCAAGTTTCCTGAGAAGAAAGAACAAGTGATCTTAATGAAAAAAGTGACCACTTAGGTCAAATGGCCTATTTCTGTGCATAGACTGGATGTAACTTGATCATGCGGATGTGGTGACAATCAAGTGGGCTGCTTTGTCCTGGATGGTGTCAAGCTTCTGGAGTGTTGTTGGGGCTGTACCCATCCAGGGTAAGTGGGGAGTATTCCATCACACTCCTGACTTGTGCCTTGTAGATGGTGGACAGGCTTTGGGGAGTCAGGACGTGAGTTACACACCGCAGTGTCAGGATACCTAGTCTAGTGAGATTACCATTGTGCCATCATCCCTTCTACGAAGGTCTTGATTGATACAGTGTTGGCATGGTGCTCAACTAGCTGCTGGGGACAGGGGTGAAGGACAGAGTTCAGAGGACACAAATCCACACTGCCCTTATAAATTGGCACCGATTAGCACAGTCACAGTTACTGAATGTTGGGCTGTTGGAACAGAGCAGTGGACAATTCACTCTGAACTGTGAACTCTCCACCCAATTTGGGGGAGACAGGCAATGAGTTAGAGTTTCACGTGAACAGATTGAGTTACAACCGAAGCTGACACTTCCCTGAGAGAGGCTATCTTTGGGATGAGATGGACATCATGCGTTGGGAAAGGCTTCAGGAATACAAGAGAGATTAATGAGAATGATACCAAGACTGAAGAATTACACTTGCATGAGAAGACTGGAAAAACCATGGTGGGTCTGGAAACACAATGAGAATTTTAAAACTGAAGTGTTATTGGACTGAGGGTCAATACGCCAGTGAGTTGAGGGGTGATGGGCAAACACAATGTTGCACAGACATGGTTTTGGTCGAGTTCCAGTTTAAGGAGAGTGGAAGATGGAACACCCAGCCTGGACAGCACTGCAACAGTCAAGGCTAGAGGTAACAAAAGCATGGTTGGAATAAAAAAATAATAACAAGACCTTTGTAAGACTATGTTTCAAAAACAAATGTGGAAGAACAACAGATGCTGCAGATGGTTTAGTGCATCTCCTGGTGTTTAACCCTGAAGGCGTAACCTGGACGACTCTCTATATTGGCACCAGTACAAAGTCCAACAGAGAGCGAAGCGATCTTGTCAGCATTGACTGACCTTTCCCTGAGATCAGCTGCAGTGTGGTACAAACTGCAAATCTGCCCTGAGTGAAAAACTACATGCAGAAAGACAAGGCTCAGTAATGACCCAAACTATTGCAGGACTATTAAAAAAAACCCACGCCTTGCCTTTCCCCTCCACCACTTCCATCCTTCCTCTTTGTCAAAGGCTCTCAAACAGAAAAGCGAAATCCTGAGTCACTCTTTCCTTTTTGCTGACCTTTCGATAGGTGTACACGCATCTGGCTTCCTCTGCCAAGACTCACAAGGACAGCCAGGGAGGTGTGAAATGAATAAAGGATCGCAGTTGCTCTGCTGCTTTTCTGAGAAACTCCTGAAGTAAAACTGCACAATTGATTGGAGGCCCTGAAGGATCAATCGAATGGGTAGGGGAGGTGGGGTTGAAGGGGTCTCCATTCACCTGCCCCAGCTCTCACACTGGCACCTCAGGAATGATGGGAGAGAAGGGAAACTCAAATAACATGTTAGCCACATCGCCTTCCCCACACAGGCCTGGACAAAATGTGGGTTACATGTGGCACAGGCAAATGCCTGTGAGTGGTTAAGTAGTTCAAAAGATCACAGTCGGAAAACTTGCTTTATAGAATCCCAACAGTGTGGAAGCAGGCCATTTGGCCCATCAAGTCCACATCAACCGTCTGAAGAGCATCGCACAAACCCACCCATAACCGTGCAGGTCCCATGGCTAACCCACCTAGCCTACACATCCCTAGACACTATGGGCAATTTAGCAAGGCCAATCCACCCTAACCTGCACATCTTTAGACTGAGAGAGGAAACCGGAGCACCCGGAGAAAACCCACGCAGACACGGGGAGAATGTGCAAACTCCACACAGACAGTCACCTGAGGGTGGAATTGAATATACTATGAAATAGTCTTTAAGTGTAATATTGGATTAAGCACTAGACTTGCAGGATTATGATGAGTCAGAGGTTGGAGAACTTCCAATAAATGGAAAAAGTGCTGGAGAAACTTAGCAGGTCTGGCAGCATCTGTGGAGAGGAACGTTTCAAGACCAATAGATTTCCTTGGAAAAGGGAACAGCCCTCAAAAGGCAGTGGGAGCAGACCCTTGACAAGCAAAGGGGGTGAAAGGTTTTCGGAGGAAGGTGAGAGTGTGCCCTATTCAGATCAGCAGTAATCCTAATGAATGGTGAGCAGTCTTGAAGGGCTGAGTGTCCTGCTCCTGATTTGAATATCCATGTGTTGAGATGGGACTGGATAGAGGCATTCTGGACAGAATGGATTGGGAAAAAAAATCCATTCTTATTGGTGTGATAGTTGAGAATAAAAAAAGCGCATAGATTCAAGGGAATTGGCACAAGAGGCAATAGCACCTGGTTAGGGTTAGGAATGTGCTGCCTGATGGTGTAACTAAACTAGATTCAATTGGGGTTTTCAGGAGTTATTTTCATTGTGGTCTATAAAGGAAGAATGTGCAGGGCTATGGCAGGGGGAGGAGGGGCAGAGCTTGGCACTGTCCAACATAATCAAAGACTCCTCCCACCCTGTCGGGCAGAAGACATAAAAGTTTGTATACACATACCAACAGGTTCAAGAGCAGCTTCTTCCCCGAGTCTAGACTCGAAACATTAGCTTGCTTTCTCTCCATGGATGCTGCCTGACTCAGCATGATCTCCAGCATTTTTTGTTTTCAGTACAGATTCCAGCATCTGCAGTAATTTGCTCCTTTTTAATGCTGGTGTGGCTCTCTCTCTCTGCATCTTCTCAGCAGCTGTAACACTGCATCCTGCACTCTTACACTTGCATAGTACAATCTGCTTGTAAGACAGCACTTTTCATTATACCTCAGTACACGTGACAATAATAAATCAAATCGAAAGCTAGCACAGATAAGATGGGCTGAATAGATGCACTTGTGTGCTGTAACCATTCTGTGAATCTGTGAGTCCTGTGTGTTTTGACTTTTGAAGCAATTATATAATCAGTTCCGAGATCTTTCTAACTGACAGTGAGGAAATGGCTTCCTTCTCTACTTTTTTAATCACTTCTCAGTGAAACACAAACAATGGTTTTCCATTTTACAATTTGCAGCCTGTCGTTTAATTTTTAATGGAAGGCTGTTGAAAGCTGGACTATGTCACCGGGACTGCAACTCATGGTTAACCTGCTGTTGTCACTTCCCAAGGAATCAGAATTCAGATTGTCCCAACTTCAAACTGTCTCCAGGGATCCTGGCTTTGTATTGGATCTCAGGGGCTGAAAGGAATCCAGTTTCCTGGATCCAGCAGCGGTTACTGAGGAAAACTGTTGATCAAAATGGATCAAAATGTATTTCCTTGCAAGGTCCTGTAACTATTTTAGCAAGGTAGGACCAGAAGGAGGCCATTCAGCCCCTGACAATTGTCCCACCATTGGATGAGATTCTGGTCGAATCCATATTCTTTTGCCTTGCAGAAATCAGCTGATCTCAGACTGAAGACTGAGTGAGAATCTGCTGCTTTTTGTGGGACTGAGTTCCATGCTTTTACCGGTTGCTGTATGAAGAAATGCTTCTGAACTAATCTCGTGAACGGCTTGCCTGAAATCATTAAGTTGCTGTCCCTTTGTCCGAGACTCACCAACCGCAGTAAAATATTCTCTCCACGTATCCATCAATCCTTCTGAAAAATCTTGAAAGAAGATCAATCACCTTAATCTTGGAATGTTTTATACCTGAGCTCTCCTTGTCACTGAACCCTCAGAACCCAATGTCCAACTGGATAACCAATGGAGAAACTGAGCACATATTCCATACCCTATAAGGTTTATTAAAACCCCAAGATCAGAAGTTGCTTCAAGTCAGCAAAGTATTTTATTTGTGCCAGGGACATGGTTGTCCATGGCTAGTCCTACATTTATTCCCCATCCCTAATTAACAACAGCATTGTTAAGAGTCAACCACATTGCTGTGGGTTTGGAGTTTCCTGATAGCTAGACCAGGTAAGGATGGCAGATTGCCTTTGCTGAAGGGGATTGGTGAATGGGATGGGTTTTTACTGCAGTTGACAGTGCCTTTATAGTCACCATTAAATAAGGTTTTAATTTCAGAAACGGAAACAGAAATTGTGGAAAAGCTGGGTTCTGAGGAAGGGTCACTCGATCTGAAACATTAAGTCTGCTTTCTCTCCACAGATGTTGCCGGACCTGCTGAACTTTTCTGTTTTGTTTCTGATTTATAGCAGTTTTTTTTTCAGTTTTGGCTTTTAATTTCAGATGTTGGGTGAACTCAAATTTCAGGATTGGCCCTGTACCCAAAATATTAGCCTGGGGTTCTGGATTACTAATCGAGTGACGTTAGCACTATACCAGCAGATCCCACTGATACCTTAATCCCTACAACTACGGGAAAATGGCTTTGATTACACAATACAAACCACGGCTTTCTCAGCACTCTTCCTACCTCCATGATCTTGGGTGATCCTTGCCGCCCAAGTGTTCCGAGAATCAGGCCCCACATTGTTGCTTTTGCAGCCGTCGCTATTGCGTCCTTCCTGATTGCCTGCATGGCTTCATGATCGTAGAACTCATGGGTCAGCACTTTGCTGTAAGGGTCGTATCTGCAAGACCAGAGCGCACAAGTCATGGAGAAGCTGCAAGAGGCAAAGATTCTATTTGATTGACCTGGTCTTTGAACTTTCAATTATACAACATCCTGCCTTCAGCTGTTAGCACGGACCTTGAATCTTATTGAAATGTGACACATGTTGTAAGGATTTTCACCTTACACTCATCAGAATCTTAAAACCTTAACCATAAAAACGTAGGTTATAGCAGCAGAATTAGACCATTTGGTCCATCGAGTCTGCTTCATCATTTGATCATGGTTGATGTGTTTCCAACCTCCATTCTCCTGCCTTCTCCCCATAACACCCAATCCCCTTACCAATAAAGAACCTATCTATGTCTTTCTTAAATACACTCAATGACTTGGCCTTCTGCAGCAATAAGTTCCACAGATTAACTAACGTCTGTCTGAAGAAATTCCTCCTCATCTTGGCCCGGCACGGTGGCTCAGTGGTTAGCACTGCTGCCTCACAGTGACAGGAACCCAGGTTCAATTCTACCCCCGGGTGACTGTGTGGAGTTTGCACGTTCTCCCCTGTCTGTATGGGTTTCCACCGGGTGCTCCGGTTTCCTCCCACAGTCCAAAGAAGTGCAGGCTATGTAGATTGTCCATGCTAAATTGCCCATAGTGTTCAGGGATGTGTCGATTAGGTGGGTTATAGGGGAATGGATCTGGGTGGGATGCTCTGAGGGTCGGTATACTCTTGTTGGGCCGAAAGGCCTGTTTCCACACTGTAGGGATTCTATGATCTATGATCTCAGTTCTAAAGGGTCGTCCCTTCACTCTGAGGCTGTGCCCTTGAGTCACAGTCTCTTCTATTAGTGGAAACATCTTCTCCACATCCACTCTATCCAGGTCTCTCACCACTCTGTAAGTTTCAATCAGATACCCCTCATCCTTCTAAACTCCATTGAGTACAGACCCAGAGTCCTCAACCGCACCTCATACAAGTACTTCATCCCTAGGATCATTCTTGTAAATCTCCTCCGGACCCCTCCTACCTCAGATAGAGGGCCTAAAACTGCTCACAATATTCCATGTGCAATTGGACCAGTGCCTTATAAAGCCTCAGCAGCCCATCTCTCCTCCTGTATTCTAGCCCTCTTGAAATGAATGTTAACATTGCATTTCCCTTCCTAACTGAACCAGCAGGTTAACCTTAACAGAATCCTGAACTAGGACTCCCAAGTCCCTTTGTGCTTCAAATTTCTGAACCTTTCCCTATTTAGAAAATATTCTACACCTCTATTCTTCCTACCAAAATGCGTAACTTCACACATTGTATTCCATCTGCCACTTCTTTGCCAACTCTCCTAGCCTGTCCAAGTCCTTCTGCAAACTCCCCGCTTCCTCAACACTACCCGTCCCTTCACCTATCTTTGTGTCATCTGTAAACTGAGCAACAACACCCTCAGTTCCTTCACTCAGTTTCTTAATGTATAATTTGAATACCGTGGATGCAAAACTAACCCCTGTGGAACTCCACTCATTACTGGCTGCCATATTGACAAAGACTCCTTTACTTGCAACCTCTGCCTTCTGTCAGACAGGATAATTGCAAGAATGCCAAATCTCTAACAATTTACGTTAAAGGCAAAAGGAATGCTGAATGATTAGGAAGTCTGATTGGCTGACACGTTACCATGGAGAAAGCAACGGGAAATTACAGGTTCCTCAAGCTCTGGGATAATTCAGAAAAAAAGCAAGGCTTGAACAGGAGTGGGAAGGGAAGCTGTAGCTAGGATTGGGGTATGGTCAGAGCTGCAAAGGATAGAGAATAGTTTCAACCTGACAACAAAGAGATATTCAGTTAACTGAAAGCCAGGACAACTTGAAATCACTGAGATAATTGATTCCTTAATTAATGTGGAATCTATAGCTTAAGGCTGCATATGCTGTGGAACTACTATATAGAGGAAATAGAGTGGACGCTATTGCAATGAACACTGTGTCAATTGTTAAATTAAAATCCGAATCTAAGATCTGAGGTGCAATTTAAAGGGCAATAATTGTCTGGTTAAAATCTTCCAACTTTATGCAGACATGATGTAAACACACTCACTGTGACCTCACTTGTCTACAACAGAAGTGTTTAAGGTGTTGGCCTTTTGTGTGAAGTGTGTCAGTAATTTGAAGAAATATTGTCATTAACCGATGTCTATTGTCTTAAGCCAATTTAATTACAGAGGTGTCAAATAAATTAATGTTTTCCTTGCATGTTGTGGCTTTAGGTTTAATGGAGGGTTAATAATTATTGAGGTTATTAATGAATTCTATTAATTCTGCTTATGTGCAAGTCCAAATACCCTACATATCAACATAAATACGGAAGATAATGTTATCATATGACTATATCAGCTAATAAATAAGCTAGTGACATTTAAAAAAGAGCCCCTGAAAAGCACAAAGTAGTTCTTGAGAAAGTTTCAATCCACTCACACACCAACTTTGCTTAACTTGCAAATGCCCTGTGATGTGGCTGCTCATGTCTACACAAACTTTAGTGGTGTGAGAAGTCAATGCGACATCAGCGCCTTCTCTTGAGCACTAATACGCTGGCTTTGTCAGTAATACTCATATCCTGAGAACAGGTTTTATAAAGTAGACAAGATGGCTGGGAGACCTGATGTCCTGCCCTAGATGGGCCTGCTTTCCATTCAGCGCAATGGAACTGAGCCATGAAGCACAGGAGAACCCTGTCACGTGATGTGGGGACATGCTGTATGTGGACTGATGGATTCACAGAAAGACTACAACAACTATAATGTCCAACAAAAACAGAAATTGCTGTAAAAGCTCAGCAGGTCTGGCAGCATCTGTGAAGAGAAATTAGAGTTACTTGACACCCAGTCAAGTAAAAAGAAAGGGGACCTAAAGTGTATCTCAAGAGGCAGGTTTCAAGGAATGTGAGAGAGAGAGAGAGACAGAGAGAGAGAGAGAGAGAGAGAGAGAGAGAGACAGAGAGAGAGAGAGAGAGAGAGAGATGCAAACGGGGAGGCAAAAGAGTCCAGAATTGGAGGAGCATATCGGAGGGTGGAGAGGACAGGAATAGGAGGGAGCAAGGCGCTGGAAGGATTTTCAAACAAAGGTGAGACTTTTGAAAATGATGAGTTGTTGTACCGGGAGCCAGTATAAATTAGTGAGCAATGGGCGATGGTGGAACAGGATTTGGTGAGTCAGAAGATAGGCAGCAGAATTTTAGATGTTCATTGGGGACACAAGGCAGGAGGCTGGCCAGTGGGGTCGCAGGAATATCACAACTTGTTGAGATAGAAGATGAAGGCCTTTAAAAGACTGTGTTGTGTAATTACACATAATGACTCCCTTCAGTTTCCAGCCGTCTTCTTCTGGTCAGCTGTAGTGTGGCCCAGTATATGGATTAGTTATTGGCAGTGTCCCATCAACATGCAAACACACTGAGCCAACGATAAATCTAATTCAACCGGTGCAGATCATAGAATCCCTACAGTGTGGAAACAGGCCCTTCAGCCCAACAACTCCACTCTGACCCTCAGAGCATCCCACCCAGACCCATCCCCCTATAACCCACCTCATCTACACATCCCTGAACACTATGGGGCAATTTAGCATGGCCAATCCACATAACCTGCACATCTTTGGACTGTGGATGGAAACTGAAGCACCCGGACGAAACCCACGCAAACAGTCACCTCAGGATGGAATCGAACCCAGGTCCCTGGTGCTCTGATGCAGCAGTGCTAACCCCTGAGCCACCATGCTTTGTTCTAATCAACCTGTTCAGCGATGTTATGATACACCCGTGGAGCAGCCAGCACTGGAACCCAGTATGCTAGTTCAGAGGTAGGGACACTACCACCATAACCCCCACCACACCCTCAGATCCTACTGATTTATCAATTTACCATTCACAGCAGATCATCTGTAAACAAAACTGTTCGTACCTATGGGATTGCAGCAACATTGTAAAAGTGTGTTTTCCTTCCACAGTACACCGTTTTGCTGCTAGTTTCACATGTTTCAGTGATACTGACGGGGTGCTGCAGTGGCAGAGGCGCTGCTTTGTAGAAGAGATATCAAACCGAGGCCCCGTCTGCGTCCTCAGGCAGACCTAAAAGATCCAACCATGGCACGATTTCCAAGAAGGTTAAGGTTTTGTCCCCAGCCAAGATTCATCCCTCAGCTGATACCCAAAGCAGGTGATCTGGTCATTCATTTCGTTACTGTGTGTGGGATCTTGCTGTGTGCCATCTGGCTGCGGTGTTTCATACAACAGGGATGACACTTCAAGAGCACCTTGTGAACGATTAATGCCCTGGACACTGCTGTCAGTGACTGGGGAAGAAAACAGGACAGGGACGTAAAAATGTGTTTGCTCTTGGTGAAAGATTGAGTTTTTCAGTGGTAAGAATATTGGAGGGCGAAGGAGATGGATGGAAGGGGGCTTGTCTGTTTGGCACAGTTAAAGTTCAGAGGTGATGTGACAAAATCTCCAGCAATACACACACAAAATACTTCCACTGTCAGTGCTGATAAGAGTGTAGATAATATCTCATGGCCAATTTAACCCCTCAACACTGTTATCTCAGCCATCGTTTTACAAAGATTACAGAAAGCTCAGATTCGTTTCTTTCAAACTTCTGGAAACCCAAAAATAATTTTCTTATCTTTCTCCTGACAGCTGCAACCAGCCTCAGATTAATGGAGTAAACTCCCAGTTTAATGTTCATTCTGTTTAGTGATGGATAATAAATGCTGCTTGAGCCAGTGACGCCTACATTCTGAGGATGAATGAACACCTTGCCAGTACATGTGACAATGCAAAGGTACAACATTGGGAAATAGACAAGGACTCTGAATCAGGAGAGCAGCCTTTCTGCACATACTCTACCTGCTGGAAGGAATAATTCAGGAAATTGCAGAGCACGCGGGAATATCAGTACTCACTGACCTCAGTACCTAACACTCCAATTCCTGCTCCTAATGTGGGAGTCTCTGTGCTGGAAGCACAAG